CAGGGGAAGGCGGTGAGCGCCCTGGCCCGGCCCGGCCCCGGCCCCGGCCCCGGCCCGCCTGCCGCCCTCCCTCCGGGGCCGGCTGCACACGTGCGACCGGCTTGGTCAGACAGAGGTCAGAGAATTACAGTAAATAAATAAATAAATAGATAGATAGATGGGAGTCAGGCACTCGGAGCAAACATTCGCGGCATTGCTTAACTCTCTTACGAACCCGGGAGAGGACTCCCACACTCCCATGCCGCTAGCGCACAGCTGCCGCTGGAAAGCTGCCCGCAGATCCTCCCTCCCTCCCACCTCTTTCAAAGGACCTTGTCTGGAGCTACCAGACTTCTGCTGGCAATATTCGCCAGGGCACAGAGAGCTACTGTCGCTTAAAAACAAGCGAGGGATTACAAGATGCTTTGATTTCCTCTGTGAGCCCAGAAAGGGACGGGCCACCGTTGCAAAAGGTGGAAGAAAACACGGGTGCTCGCTCGGCGCTGCACGCTCACCGGCACGCTTCGGCACAACCTATACACTGGTTTACGCTGAATCGCAAAACGAGCCCAGCTATAGCCATAGAGCCAAGGTCTTCTGCATGAAGATGACTTCTCCACAAGGCACCTCACGCACCTCGGGGACCACAAACACCAACAGGCTCCCAACGAGGCAGGCGCAAAACCGCAGGCGAAGGCATTTCTGCGCGTTGTGCCCCGGTACCTCCCAGTCAGTCGTAGCAGGAGGCACGCGCTGGCACTGCCGAGCGCAAAGCGGTGGCAGGGAGCACGAGGCGGACTGGGGCGGAGGCGGCTTTGCAAGCCTGCCCGCGCGACCGCTGCCCCCGCGACGGAGAAACCCCTCGCCTCTCAGCTCTGCGGGGCCGCACGCAACGCTCCCTTACTCGGGGGCAGAGCTTCCCCCACCCCGGGGAAGGAGGCAAAGCTGACGTACGCGGGCAAAACCGCTGCTCGGCAGTTCAGGCGCTTTTCTCCCGCTGCAGCCTCTCATCAACGCAGTGTCCAACGCAGCGAGCGCGCTCTGGATTTTCGAAGGCCCCCTCGGGGCTGCAGGACTCTACCGCCTTTGAACAGCTGTTCAGCGCCGCTAAAAATCCCAGCCCAAAAATCCCTGCTGGGGGGCAACGAGTTACTGCGCTCTTTTCCAGGTCTCGCCTTTAACAGGGCGTTAACCTCACCCGAGGCGTCCGCCCGCGCTCGGCTTTCGGGGTCCGGTTGGGATCCTGCGTCCGGCCTTCCCCGCTACACCCGCACGCGACGGGATCAGCTGATCCGACCGCTCATCAGAAATGCTCCTGCACCGGGATTACTTGATGCAAGGGTTAGCCAGCAAGCTACTTTGTGTCACCGTTCGTTCGAATAAACGGTGCCGTTTCCCCTGTATTTTCTGCGGCGCTTGAAAGAGCGGAAAAGCAGGCAGCCCCTAAACGCCTCCCTGTTTTAATCTCAAAATAAGATAAGCCTGAAGTGTTCAAGGGATCTAAGCCACCAGTGCCTCATCTAAACAAAAGTTCTTACAGCAAAAATACTCCTGTGAGATTTGCCCGTTCAAATCTCATAAAGCCCACGTTGTCACAGGGGCTAAGAAAACCCAGCTCTTTAAATATAGTAATTCTTGCCTAAGAACATTAATGGCATCCCAGGACTGGAAGGCAGGCTGTGTAAATTAAAGAGCAAAAAAATCACATATACACTCTTAATATCCTAATACCTATTACGTGTGATCTCTTTCAAAGTAGCTTGCAACGAGAAGCGCAGTTATTCTTCGGTAGAGTCGCCAGAAACACAGTCTGAATGCCCTTTATGAAAGTTTAATAATAAAAAAAAAAGTGTTTCATAAAGAACCATAAAAACCAAATTTTCCAAAACAGCACCGATTACTCCCCCATTTTGTTTTTCTTCTTCCTCAAGCACAAAGCTGGGGCAAGCACAGACCCTTCCTGACCAACCTCCCCTTGACACAAGGACATCACCTAGGCCCAGGGTTTCCTGAAAAAGGGCTGTTTCAGCCGGGCCCAGGCGAGGGCCGGGCGGGGAGCAGCTGGGCCCCCAGACCTGCCCCTCACAGCTTTTCCTACGGCAGCCAGCCCAGGTGCCCACGAGCAGCACCTCAGGCACAGCACCACACTTCTCCTCACAGGGTAACACACAGGAGCCTTGTGTTAAGGGCAACGAGCGGGCCCGTATTTTTAAATACCCTCGCTCCCCAGCCAGCCCCATTGGGCTCCCTGCATGGGAGACCACAGCAGCCACAAAGTCAAGGGCTAGGGACCGCATCCTGCCCACCTCCAGTCCT